GGATTTGGTTTTAAAACATTTTAGTATCAGCTTTGAATGGAGCCTCCCTATAATTCCACAGGCCCAGTGGTGAAGGCAAGAGATCCCAGAGACCCCAGCCCCAGCTCCCACCCTGGGGAGCAGCCTGCCACAGTTAATGAATGGGAACTGCTGCTCACAGATGTGAAGATGGAACTTTGCTCTGGAAGCACCCATGTCTCCTGCACTTATTTCAGTCTTGAGACATGATCAAGGAAAGCCTGCAGCTTGTGTTGCTAAGTAGCTGCCACCATAACAAATCTGTGTGCCTTTTCTAGCTCATTGCTGCCTCCCTCAGCATCAGCAGGACTAGGTACAAGTTTGCATTCATGTAATTACAAATGCAAAAGACGATTAGCTTATTTTCAGGGCYGCTCGTTAGTTACTTGACCAGAGAAACATTCCTAAGCATCAAATTTGGCTTTGAAATCCAAATGCTAAGCTGCTTCTCCTATTTTTTCTTGTAACATTGACTGTGGTTTCTTATTCTTTAAACATCAGCATTTCTTTTGTTTTGAGAATTAGTCCCATAGTCAAGAAATATGAGAAGCAGCTTAATTTGTACAAAGACAGATTTAGCTGAACTTTTCTGCAAAAAGGCTCAGYAGTGGAACAGTTTATGGTATTCTACTCCCTTCACTTCAGAGTTCGCAATCCAGTGCCATGTGTGGTACATGGTGCCTGTAAATTGACTCAGATTCTGGCTTCCTCTCCAGGAACGTGAGGACTGGTTATATTAACAAAATGGACAGAGAATTAGTGTGGACACATCCACTGGAAAAGGCTGGGCTTGGGCTCTATCAYAGAAATATCTGATTTGAGGGAGAACTTTGAACTTCTGCCTTGGAAAAACAGAACATTACTAAGTGGTGTGCAAGTTGATGATGAACAGGCCACTACACAGTTTTAGCCAGGGCCGGGACTCCTGAATTCAAACTGCAATTTTGTGTATAATTTTCTTAGACTGATTTAACACACATGCARAATTGGCACAGCCATCCAAAAAAGCAATCCTCACTCCTTCCCTTCTCTGTTCTCCTGCCTGGTGCTTCTTGTTATGCTGGCACAAGTTTCTGTGTGGCTGCCCGGTGCACAGGATGTAGGAATTGATCCAGCTGGAAAAAAACCCCTTTCTTTTGGTGGGTTTTACCCTGAATCAGTTTCCACTATCCCCAAACCTAGAAAACTAAATKGTACAAATAATTGCCAGCATTACCTGARCAATGCAAGCCAGGAAAGGAGAAAGTGTTTCAAGAAAGTAGCAGAACAGTTAAATTCAGAGAGGAGCTATTGCATGGAGAACACTACTGGCTTYAAACCCCCATCTGGCTCTAGGCTGCCAAGTGTCGTGAGCAACCCTGTGTTTCTCATCACATGTATTCTTGATCAGTGTCACACAACATTTATAAACATCCATGAYTGAAGGTCAACCACACATTCTCAATTCTTTAGTGTTAGTTTCAGGCTATGCTATGATGTTTAATGTTTTTACTGAAAACAAAAATAGGGCAAATAAAAAAAAGGTGGGGGATGGGGAAAGGAGAACATGTAGAGACACAGCTCGTGACAACCAAACTACCTCTTGTGTCCTTCCTGGCTGCTGGGGAGTATCTAGGGCCAAATGCAGTTGGAGGCTGTTTTCTCCCAGAAAGTTTCTGGCACTTATTCTCCTTATAATACAACATTAACATTATTGTTTGGTTAATATGAATATTTTCTCCTAGCTGAGATTTTGGATTTTTTTTATTCTGCACGAACATGTTTTGAGCTAAAACAAATATAAAACCAGCTCCTGTTGTAAGAACTAGGAAAAATCTTCCCTTCTTTCTACTTCCTAGTCTCGTCTCTCCAATGGCTTTTATTAGACATTCAGAGGTCAGCAAGAAATGCAGAGAACTATCCTTTATTCCTTATGTGTTGGGACAACCTATTTCTTAGCAGTTCAGCTTTTCTATATGTTCATGCTSCAGAAACTCACAGTATGTATTCCAGCCACTTCTTGGAGGTGAAGCAGAAGAAAGGTCTGAAAAAGCACAAAGATGAACRCAACCATTTGAGGAAAGATGTACAATCAATGAACACTTGAGAGGTTTAGAGCCAGAAAAATTTACCTTAACCCCACTCCMCTCCAGAAAGTCATATTAAGTACCATGACAGAGACTCAGGTRTAGCAGTGGGATGACAACAGGGAGTGAAAAATAACCCTTTGAAATTTGACTTCCTTGACTTGCCAGTATAGAATGTCAGCTGGAAAGACCAAAGGGGAAAAGGCAATTTTGTGCCTACAGAACATCAATGATCAACATCCTCAGCACCATATACTTCACCCTCCAGCGAAGTCCCCGAAGCAAAGTTGCACACAGCAGCTGCCAGGTCATTGCTTAACAAGCTGGTTTTCAATCATGTTTTGTCAGTTAGGAAGAATCCTCTACTCATACCTTTCCCAGAAACACAGCACTATTTAACCTCCAGCTGTAGATAACATCGCCTGTCTGACTTCTTCCCTTCCACCCCAGCTGGAACAAAACAGAGCAGTGTGTCTTCAAGAGGATAAGACACACAGAGCAGGAATTCATTCAATAACTTAATCTCATTGAAGAAATATCTYCTTAGATTCCTGAACCGTTCTTTTTCACACATCAGGGTGGAGTAATTTGGAAAGCAGGGTGCACATAGTACCCCCACTGTGAACAGTTAAGTTTTGCAGACAGAACAAAACTGCCACCAATGGGAAGATGGAACAYAGAGAAGCATTCACAGCAGTTCCTTCCCCTCATTGCTGCAGCGCAGCACTACAGCCAAAAGCACTAGAGACAGTCTGGCCTGATTGGGAAACAGTGAGGAACACATTTTACAGTAAAGTTCTCGATCAAATCTAAATCCCTCACAAGATGCTTTCTGAAAATAGATGTTACTCACTGAGCTGCAAAAAAAAARGCTTCCCATCTAGTAAAAACTAAGTGAATGCTTATGGTTAATTTCTATAAAATTATTTCGACATTCATTTGAGGAGGAACTATAATAAAATGCAGATGCTGTACTTCTTTACAGAGATATTGGAACACTTTAAAAAAACCCAACAGCAGTCATAGGGGAAAACAATGAATGATGTGCAACAGAGAGCTCTTCACCATCTCACATGTGTCTGTWACAGAGAAAGCAAATATACTTCTTGTACATACAGGAGTTATGCAGGAACACTAATGCTCATCACCATTCCTTCACCTCATTCAACAGCTGATCAGTGCATTATCACGAAGCCTGCTTTCCAAGAAATGTAAGCCTGTTAGTACTACTTGCAGACCATGGGCAGAACAAGTACCAAATCCTGCACATGACAGAGCAGAGCTTGCATTCAGTGCCCCAAATTAGAGTGTCATCAGGCATGTTTGAGCAAAATCAACTTGTCATGAGTGTTGATCACAATGGTGTTACAAAGGGCAGAACTAYAACAAAAATGTACTAATTATTGACAGAAGAAAAGCCAGAAGAGCTTTCATTCTAGWCTGAGAGCCCAAGTTGCCACACTTCTCTTTCACAGAACTTGAACCAAAGGAATGAAAGTCACTCTTTTCCAGGGCTGTGCCTACAAACACACATTTGGGCTGCCTCAGCACAGGCCAGCCTGCATCCCACAGGAACTACAGCACACACAGGATGGGCCTGGCTGCTCTCACTCAAAAGCAGGACAGTCCTGGTGCGTGGGGCCCAGACTGCCAGCTCTCTCAGCCTACTTCAATCAAAATTCACTGCTACTACACATAAGCTCTGCAAGTGACCAACTGACTCCATGGAAGATGTGCTGCAGSCACAGGCTTGGCTCCAAGTGTCTGGATCTACCAGGAGCATGCAACTCCAGAGGCACCGACATACATGCAGAGACAACTCCAGAAGCAAGGGAACAAAAGAGCTAAAAGAATTCAAGCTGGATATTTTCTGGCATTCAGAAGGGACAGGCATGTAGATGAATCCCATTTTATAGATAGCCTCCCATAATTTTCCACACAGACATTTCTAGCACAGAATGCTTGAACAAAAGCACAGTACAGCCAGCAGAGTAACACCTCCTTCCTAATGGCAAGAAACCTATTTACATATTYGAGTTTTAAATCTTCCAAAGAGCTAAATCTTTGCACACGTAATACAAAATAACCGACCTTTAAGTGCTCAGTCCCTCCAACATAAATGGAAGGTGTTCAAACAAGATACAGAGCTAATACATAACAGCTTATAACACAACTTTTATTAGAAAAGTTATACATAACAGCATCAACTATTTTCAAGAATATTAACCTTGAAAAGCAACAAAAACAGACTAAAAATGTGTAACAAGAAACTAATGACCTTTTCTATAATTAAACATTCAAGTTATCTACAATGTCTCTTTTTACAAAGGGGAAAATTATGGTTTTACAGGCACATCATGTTGAAAATAAAGCTGCAGTAACTTTATACAATTATTTTTTCARGGATTATTAAAACATGGTCATCATGTAGTCTCAGTTTCTTAAACATTCACATAATTTTACAGTTGAGTATACACTGACATTTCAGAGTCCCAAAATTATTTCACAAAAGTGCCAACACTAAAACCAGAATCTTCAGTGTGAATAATTTTGCCCTAAAAAAAGTTAAGACAGGTCTCCATAATCAACATATTCACATAATTTCTGGTGCTATMTGGTCTAACAGTAAAGCTTAATTCTTTAGAAATAAAACTGAACTTCTTTTGCAAAACTGATAAAATGTTTTGAACACGGGAGGGTACATGATCTGAAAAAATTGACACTAAAACCATAAATATATCCAAAGAACCATTAATACGCTACACAATTAAGTGGAATTATGCCCATTTGTACTCTATTTTCAAAGTTTGTTGCCCTTTTGGAACAGGTGTTATCTGAATTTAGCAATTTTTCTTATTGTCGGACGCCTGCTTAATAAAAAAATCAGATAATTTACAATCTAGAAGTCTGTTTTAAAAAGTCTGGAGTTTATATACAGCTCTAACAAACCTAAAGCATTATGATTTCTTAAAAGTTTAAATGAAATGACTAGTTTTCATTTGTCACTTATTAACAGTAATTAGCCATTATCAGTAGTGGACCATAACAAGGTGATCATTGAAAAGGAATGTTTCGTCTAAAATGCTTCACATGTTCTGTCCTTTCACGTATCACGTAGAAGAAGTGATTTCCACAGACACTCATTTCCCCTTAGCATCAAGGGCTACAAAAATCTGACTGCAAAAATGCAGTGACACAGCAAGCTGACGTATCAGGCACTACCTTTCATATTGGCAGCTTTAAGAGACCCACAGTATGCACAAAGATCTGGAGAAGGGGAAAAAATCTAACTACTGTGAGAAGCAGACTGAACATTTCAAATGAGTTTGGCAAAGTTTTTAATCAGACAATWGGTTGGCCATTCAGATTTACTTGTATAGGTTAAAAATATTTCTAYTGAATCAACTAGTCAAATTATTGTAAGACATTTTCATTGATACTCAACATCACATGCACCAATATTGCACACATCTGCTCCGAGCTGTTAAAACAATCTTTATCTGGGCACTTGAGATGTCTGGTTTCTGAAGCTGGAACTCAAGTCACCCACCCCAGCAATTTCACTAAAAATTTGAGTGGTAAAGTTAAAATACAAACCCCAAAATAACCCCAAGAGAAAACCAAGGACTTTATACAGACAATAAAATCTAAATTTTCTGCAATGGTCTTGTGGGCCCTACGGACGGGGCAATACACATACACACGCACTGGTGAGACGAGCACTAGCTCTGCTCTAAGTAACCATTCAGATAATGTGAAACCTGGGACCAGGGGTGGCAATGATGTCACTGTAGGGTTCCTCCTGYGTCAGCTCTATAGCTTGCTGCTTTTTCAGTACCAGGAAACTGTAGAACTTTGCAGCTGCTTGTTTTCTATTCGTATTTCTGCACAGCTCAAGCAAACTGATAGATTCTGCTCCAGTCTTAGCAAGAGCTCTCTGAAAAACACAGCAACGATACCATAAATTAAATAAAGAACTACACAGAAACAACGTCTCTTGGCAAGATTCTGCTTGTTGTCAACCCCAGGACATTCAGAAGGATGGGAACATTACAGCAAGTACATGAAAATTCTTTATGGATTTTAGCTAAATGAAACCTAGTAGGCTTCCCAGAGATGTGTGAACAATCATTCTTGAATCTGCTGAACGCATTCCAGAAACGCTGTTGTACAGCACAAGATTTAATTTCTGCGACAATAGCTAACCAGTCTTTTTTGACTACAGGACAATTTTTTCTTAATAGGAATAAAATTTAAAAAATCAAGTTGTATTTCCCAAAATAAAGGTAATTCCAAAAAGAATAAAACTAAATTTCAAAAGATGCATATTTTTTCAAAGGTGAAAGCTTGTTTATTTCTAAAACTCCTCTGTCTTAGAAACTAAGTACCCAAAGCCACATTTTCTCCAAGTCTTGGCAAGAATACATATATTAAAAAAATAATAATCATGAAAATACATCTTTTTGCTGGCCAGGACAACAAGTGAAGTCTTTGATTTAAAACASAATTGTCTGCCCTGGAATGTCTACCAGATGAAAAGATATTTGGCTGGCYGAGCCAATTACTTTATATTAATCAGATTTCAACTCCAAATCTTACTGCAGATTTAATGTTTCAGTCATCCAACGTGATGCTCTTTTGGGTACATGGAAGGAAGAATTGAAAAAAGCTRGATATGGCCAAGGAGAATTCTGAAGATCTTTTCAGAAACCGTAATGACACATTCAAAGAAGAAAACATTACACAACACTACCAACTCCACATCTTTAGAAGTTATTTTTAAGCTACTGTTGTACTGATTTGGGTTGGGACAGTTATTTCTTCACAGCAGGTCATATGATGCTATCTATGTTTTGCATCAAGTAGGCTGGAGGTGCGCAAGGAGTTGGGAGGGGACACAGCTGGGACAGCTGACCCTAACTGGCCAARAGGATAATCCATGATATATGCCATCATGCTCAGTATTTAAAGCTGGGGCAAAGAAGAGGGGAATGTGTGACCACTTGGGATTTGGGCATTCAGTGACAGCCAGATCTCAGCAGTTGCCAAAATGTTTAATGGAACAAAGGAGCTACAAACTAGGCTGAAAGGCAAAGGTAGTCAAAGAACATGTGGAGGACACACACAGGGGGATAAGCAAAGGAACAGTTYGCACTTCAGTTCAGGTGCATACTGGGGTGTTCAATCATTGTATCAAAAAAAAGCTCTTTAGTTCCATCGAGCAAGAATCTACCCTACAGACAGACAGATAGATGTCTGTGCAGACTGAAGCCACATGCTGGAAATCAGCCAAGGTCACACTTTCCCAGTTGTTAAAAGATTCAGCTTCTCATGGCATTTAAGTTTTCAAACTAGCCTAGCCAGGAAGCAAATATCCTGTACAATCATATTACATCCCTAGACCTTTATGGAGGTTTGCCTAAAGACACATAGCTCAAAGTCAGAGGTGCTATGATTTCATTAAAAACACATTCAACTCAATTATTTTATTCAAATTTCTGAGAATCTTCGTTGCACACCGAAGTGTGGATATAAAGGTTGAAAAGTGAAAAATTTCAATACAAATGTTTTTTGAAAAGAAGTGACAATTGTAAGAGCACAGATTTAATTTTAGTTATTTGATATAGATTTAACCAACTACACACATTCTTCCCCCTCTAAGACAACTGTTAATTTAGGCTGTAATACCTACTGCAAAGCAAGTTCTATCTTGACCTTTTAACTCAGGTCAAAAGCATCAGTGGGCACATTCAAAAGCTGCTTTACGAGAAAGCAAACGATCATGTGTACCTGAAGTCCATGGAGCATTTGTTGAGTCCTCTTGTTCCATCTCCTTTCTTCTTGATCCTGATCACCCCCTGTGCCGTCTTCTTCCTGCAAGTAGGTATAAAATAGAAGACATCAATAAAGTTTGTGCTGATATCCACAAAATATTAAATACAGTAGCTAAGAGACAACTTAAGTTATCACATGTTAGGACATGGGTAGTTTTCTTGCAAAAAGCTAGTTTCATTAAGTAGCACARGCTATTTAAAATGAACCACACCATTAAGTTCAAAAGTTCTTGTCAAAGGCATCGTAAATATAGAGTGGTTTAATCCAGCTATGTGTGAGAACAGGAGAACACTAATTCAAAACACAATGTATATGCAATCTATAAAATTAAATGATATTATAAAGTGGCCATGAAATAATTCAAGAATTACATTTCCAGGGCCTATTAATCCCCAAGGACAGACTGAATCTACAGTCAACCACTTCTGGGAAACACTYAAACTGATTCTACAGAGTTCTTACTTCTTCTTCTTCTTCCTCCTCTTTCTCCTTTTCCTTCTCTTTCTCTTTTTCTGGCAGAAGTTCTAGTTCTGGTATTARCTGGCAGATGTTTTGGGGCTCTTCTGGAGGCATTTCTACAGGTGGTATTTCCAGCTGTTGTGATGGTGGATGCTTCAAGAACACACAATACAGTTAAACAAACAGTATCATTTTGTYAGTGCTTTTACAATAGAATGATGGTGCTACAGACCAGTTAATAAATCCAAGTATCTAATTCTTAGCCATTTATCAGAATTTTTCATTTCTGAAAACCAAAAAGSAATTTTGTTTTGCTGTCCATATGTGTCTTTTCAATCCTTTAAAATTGTGATAGCCAGAAGTTATGGTACCACTATAAAGTAAAAAAGCTTTCCAGTAACTTCACTTATTCCACCATCCAAACTAYAGACCTCATTCCTTGGATCAGCACATGCAAATTTGAAATGCCACATAACCAGATGCAGTGCTACATGAACACACTTTGACTTACTGCAACAAGACATCTTCAAAATATCAATAAGCTATTCTCACCAACACAAACATGAAGGAATTAAAACATTAGTACCTGTATAGTTTCCAAAAATAAGTGYATGATTTTGGTGCTCAAGCATGTTCTCAGAAAATATTTATATCAAGGGGAAAATCCAGAAAAGCAATTTAACAGGATTTATGTAGACAGTTTCATTAAAATTAATATATGGTACTCTTCCCCTGAATCTATAAACAATTAAGTGCTTGCCAGTAAAGTTACTCTGACACCTGAAACTGTTTCTATAAACACCCTAAAATGGCTAAGGAATTTCTGATTTAGTCATGCAGGTTGACATGTTGCTGGAGGCCTGACCTAGCCTCTAAGATTATGAAAGAATTCCCAACACACCAAGAGCCCCCCAGTTACACTGACTTAGCACAGTCAAGGGAGAATTTCAGCCCATGATATGGCCAAGAGGAGCAGCAGCCACCACCCTGTTTAGTAAGATCTAACAGTCCCATTCTACCATCAATCTACCTGTTAGACAAGGAAYGTGAAAAGTGAGGTTAAAAAGTGCACAAATATGARACACAGCACAAACCAGGACTGTTCTCGCCAGGCAAGCATTCAGAAGAATACAGCTTTCATTTTGCCCATTTCCCTCCCCTACCCTTCACAACAGCTTCCTTTCACACTGCATCACAGCTAGTGTCCAAGTCTACTCACAACTCAACTAGGAAATCTCTCCAGACAATCAAARCTTTTCTTTGAAGCCTTAAGCTGAAACACTAATGTCTTAAAATACATTTATGCAGCTAACACAATCCTTGCTTCATGGAATCTGTTCATATATATTTGCCAAGCAGAACTTGATAAGCAATACACTAAACTCCTTGAAAACTTTCTTTGGAGGAAATAGTGTAATTTCTTTTTCCTACCAGCATTCTGAATGTTTCAGTGAGCTTTTCACCTAACAAAAACACCACAATGATTACCCAGGAACAAATGTTCTGATACTACTGCAGTGGATCTCCAAGGACCTTAAAAAGCTAAGTCCTCCAATCTGTGTAATTTCCTACTCAAACACACTACCCACTTCTTCTCCTTAAAAAAAACATAATAAAAGCTTACTTACGGGTAACACTGGCTCTGGTTCTACTTGCTGCAGTTTGCGTTTAACACCTGTCTGAGCTGGCGGGGGTGGCATAACAGATTCATCCAGGTTGGTTCTGCTGCCCTCCATCATCGACTCTTGTAAACGGCTTGGTTCTTCCAGAATAGGTTCATCTATATTCCACAACAAACTCTCTTTTAGATACTTTAGAATGTAATTAGAAACTGTACCAAAACCCCATCTGCTACATTTTRGAACTGAGCACTCTTTAATAGCCTGTACTTTTAATCCACTGATTCAAACARCTCCTAAGCATCTCCCATTTCTAGGAAAAAAAGTTGTTTTATGTCACAAGCTGTACATCAAGTCAAACAATCATTACAAAGCTCATTGCTTCATACATAATCTTTGATGACTTAATATAAAGTACAAATAAAAGGAAAAATAGGCTCCAAGGGAAAGGAGAGCACCCTTGGTAAGATACAAACCAATGACATCTCGTTGCTGCTGTTGCTGTTGCTGCTCCTCTCTAGGAACCTCTGGGTTTTCAAAGTCTTTAAGGAACTCATCAAGATTGTCAGCTTCTCCACCTTTCCTCCTCTTTCTCAGGTCTTCTGGTACCAGAGGTGTAAGACAGCGAGTGAAGAGCTACAGAGGAAAGGTTACGTTATTCATTATTGCAGTTCTTAGTGTCCTTTTATTTCAATTCAAGTAATTATGGGCTATTTTGCTTTCTCAATTTATAAGCTCCTCTCCAACAGTACTAACATCTAAAAAAATAATTTATTTCTGTAACTGATAAGGTAAGTATTTTAAACATTGCTGTTAAGTCTTCACTATTTTGTTTATTTCAAATTATGAACACTACAATCATTKTATCACCATTTATACGATGATGTTTTCCGTTTTCTATACACGAGGCACAATACTGAACATAGGCCATGTAAAAATGAACTTGCACAAAAACATTACCTTCAGTACTCTGTTATTCCACAAAGGCTGTGCAGGCAGAGAGAAAAGCTTTTCAACTCCACCAGTTTCTTTCCACATCATCAATTTCTTAGTAGGAGGTGCCAAATCCAAAGTAGTAACAATATCAGAGTAGTCACTTAATTGGGCTCGAATAGTCTTGCTGTCCAGYTCTTTCACACTGTCCACAATCAGCTTTCTCTTCCTCTTTGCTTTGGTTTCCTTGACTGTTGAGATTTTTAGCAAGCAGTGAAGGTTAGCACAAACATGTACCATGCTATAGAAGAATCTTGCAAGCTCTTTACAGGTCTTGCCAATGTATAAAGCTGCCTCAAGAATCTAAGGCAATGCTAGCTTTGGGAAAAGGATTAAAAGTTATGTGCAGTATGAAACGTTTTATACTATGAATGCTGTCCCATAACYTACAAATTCTTCTGCAAATTTAAATCTACCTAAGCCCTAATACCCTCAGCTGCATATGCCTCTCTTCCCCATGGCTTCTTTATTAAGCTGGTGCAAACACTGGCCACCGAGTTGAACAGAGGATGAAGCACCTCTCATATGAAGAAAGGATGAGAGATTTGGTTTTGTTCTGCCTGCAGAAGAGGTGGCTTTGGGGTGATCTAAGTGTRGCCTTCCMRTACCTGAAGARAGCCTACAAGGAAGATGGAGGAGACTTTCTACAGGGACATGTAGTGACAAGGTAGGGAGATGGTGCAAACKAACAGAGAGTAGGTCAGACWAGATATTAGGAAGAAATTCYTTACTGTGAGGGTGGTGAGRCACTGGGACAGGTTGCTCATAGAAGTTGTGGATGCTCTATCCCTGTCAGKGTTCARGGCCAGGCTGGATGGASCCCTGACTAATGGGGTCTAGTGGAAGATGTCCCCGATCATGAAAAGCAGGTTGGAACAAGATTCTCACAATCCCCTCCAATCCCAGCCATTCTATGACTCTCACCACAGATTCAAAATACCACACTCAGTTTTTCCCCTAAGCTCTACCTGAGCTTTGCTGGAGTTAATRTAGGCGGTTATTTTAACTGCAAACTTCTGATTCTTCTCTAGGATGACTTTACTGCACATTTCTCACAGCCTGGTACTCTGCAGCAGACCCTGAAGCTCTGGCAAATGCTGTCTTTGCGGGTCCCAGCAGATGAGCTGGACCCCTGCTGCCAGCCCRCCACGAGAGGGCAGTGCCACAGCTCTCTCACTAACCAAGCAGGCAATAAGGRCCTGGAGCTCAGTCTAAAAACACAGGGCAAGCTACTTTCCTTCCAGGTATTAATTTTTTTAATAAAGCAGGGGTCTGTAMAATGAGTCAAATATAGTATCAGTTAAAATATGCAAGTTTCTTGCATTAAAGACAAAGAAAATGCCTACTTAGTAGAAATTCAAATTCAAAGGTGCACCTTCCCAAACTCAGCAATTAACTAAAGCTACAAATCACCAGAAGAGCACTCATTGTCAGTGTAAACAGTCACTCCTGCCCTTGAAACGTAGCAAATAAAGAACTGAGCAGCCCTACAGATACCACATTAAAGACATGATGAATTTGATTCCAACTCAGTGCATTTTAACTATGAGGTTTATCCAAAGCTACATGCTGTTACWCTACTGACTGCAGAAACTACAAACTAGTATTTTCTGAGACCATCCATGTAACATATCTGGGAATTACTGGAAGGCTATTATTCAAATAAAATGAATTCAGCACTTGATCCCTGGTTTCTCTCCCTAGTGAGAAGCAGAAGCAGCAGCAGTACTAGACATTCATTTCCACTCCATCAACCTAAGGTGGTCTCCGACAAAGCGTGCAAAACATTTCCAAATGGCTCACTCACCAGTTATRTCAATAGGCTCCAGAGCAAAAGCTTCCTCTTCATTAGGAACAAGCGTTGTCTGATCAGTCATGGTTGGTAACGGTTCCACAGGATCSACCGAGTCCGGGCTGTCCGGTCCTCCCACTGCCAATTACAACAAGTACCTTGCACTAGGTCAAAACATTAACAGGCTGTGCTACCCTTCCCATTCCTTTCTCCACACCTTCAAGTGGTTTACCACATTTCACACTTTTGAGCTTATTATGCTTTTAAGGAATTAGAATCCAAATTAAATTAGTTGCAAGTAACTCTAGATCTAGTCCTAGATCTAGATCCATACTCACTTGATACATTATCATCATCATCCATATCATCATGGGGAGGCTGCTCTGGCATCATAACTCCACTTTCTGAGAGTGCAGGGGGGTCATCAAAAATACCCCCATCATTATTACTGAGAAGTTTGTCATCTAAAGGAACCATATGAAAGGATCAGTTTTGCATCCACAAATTCATGATATAAGTATAGACAAATTTACCAAGAAGTACAGACAAGTTTATTACARTGAAGATAAAAGATATTGCAAAGTTAGAAACCAGTACTTGCAATGCTACCATAGAAGAAGTAGCAGTGCTCTTTCAAGGTTCAGGTCTAATTCTGAGCTTACAGGTAACATTTATTACAATATACTTAGCACGCTTATCTGAGTCATCAATACTGCTGTMGTACCCACAAACTGGAATTTAAATTGTGCACGGTGTAACCTTGACAGGGATCTTGGCAACAAAGGAAATTACTTCCCCACATACACTCAAAAACTTAAGGCAGGAGATAGGATATAGCAAAAACAAATTTCTCAGACTTACCCAATATTCCACCATCATTTCCTTCTCCAAAATTATCATCTTTGTATTGGTCTTCATATTCCAGGTGATTAGATTTCTCATTGAGGTGACTGGTGCTCTGTTCAGGTTCCAGAAGCAGATTGGAAGCACTAGTGCTCACTAGCATGTCATCCTCAAATGCACTACCTTCTCTCATCATCTCACGATCATCCATCCCAAAGTCACCTGCAAGAATACAATWGCACTGGCTCTAAGTGCTAAAGAACCAAGAAGCAAGAGACCTACCTAACTGATCAACAAAGGCCCATATGTAAGACCAAACTTTAATTCAATTTATCATACTTGCACAGTTAATGACAAGATGTAAGGAATTGTGCCTGGCAATACCATAGCAAAAAACGCTGTTCAAACAATTACAGAAGTAACTATTGACTCCTCAAAGCATTTTATTTTACTTATTTTAATTGATATTAACAAGATCCTACTAAATTTTAGCTCCACAGAAACCAAAGAATTCAAGAAAGTTTACTTTATGCCTCAAGGCTGGGCTACATGTACAGGGAACAAACCAAGTCAACACCATTCCTAGGTCAGTCTTTCAAAACAATTATTGAATTATGGATTACAATACTGTAGGCTGGGAATCAGACATTCAAATAAAACTGTCTTTGGGCTTTGATTCAGATATTTAAACACTGTCCTTGTTAAGATACCCCAAGTAGAAAACTCGTCACCAATAACTGATTAAGCTTTAAAAATCTCCCAGTGGTTTCTGACTGAGAACATACTTAAGATTAAAGCAGCAGCTCRCTTCATATTCACACCACGTTTTGGAAACTGTAATTGACATAGGGCTTCACTGATTAACTTGACTGAATATTCTTCAGCTTTTTTTTCTGTCTATTCTAGGCAGCTAGAAGTTTGATGAGCATTAGAGGACAGACTTTCTGGAAAAACTGACACTAACAAACTAAAAATTAAATGTACAAAATCACAGCATTTGTTTTGTGCTTAGTGGGCATTCCATAGTAATTGCAAAACCGTATCTTACAGTAACTGAAACTAGCTAGTAACACAAAATAACACATGAGATCTTTACCAAAGTCATTATCCTGGAGGATACTGATGTTGCCTACTTCTTCTCTCATTGTAATTTCTTCCACTCTACTCTGGTTCAAACTGAACTGCTGAGCCACATCAATATCACTTAAACAAACAGAARGCAATTATTAAAAATCTCATTAAAAAATTAACAACAGACAAAGCCTACTAAAATAAATGTGACATTATTTAGTAAAAAGCARTTTTACTTTCAAGTCAATTATTGAACAACATAATGATGAACACTGAATGGAAACAACTACTTAAAACAGTAAGACCATTACTGGTTCAAACCTATCACCCAAATTGCATTAGCTTCTGAGAAATGTATCAGCAACCTCTCTTACTCCTTGAYTTGGAGGAGTAAGGACTCCTTGATACTCTAATTTGAATATAAACTAAATAGAACACTGAGTAAGCTGTAGTCTAAAAAATCCCTTAYGAATAATTCAAATACAAACATAAAACAATAAAACCCATCTGTTTTTTAAAGATTAAGAACTATTCAGGTTGTATAATGGTTATATGTACAAGTAACTCATAAGTATTATGAAGTTTTAAGAATTAACAGTGACACTTCAAAAGGTCAACATTTTCATAAAACAAGTCTTATCTAACCTAAGGATATATGTGATGTAGAATGTCTTTGCATAGAAGAAAAGAGGAAGTTACAATAGATATCTGAGTTTTTCAAAAGCTCATGTAAGGATAGCTTTAGCTTCAGTTAAAGTCAATGCTACTCTGAATTTAAAATCAATACAAAGATGACTGCACACTTCCTTATTAGTTTATTAAAAGACCTAAGAACAGAAGTTTCCTACAGACTTTTTTTTTTACATTTGGCAATGAATTAGCTGTTGAAAACCAGACTCTCCCCAACTAAAACTAACTACCATTTTCACGGAAATAAAAAAAAAACCCCAAGCTTACTCTAGATCAGGAAGTGGTTGGTCAAAATCATGAAACTCCTCGGGCAAGGTAATAGCATTGTAAGCAGCCTCTCTGTTTTCCTCAGGCAAATCAACAACTCCTGCAAAGAAGAACACCCAGACATGAGTTCCCATTCCTTACAGCATTTTTCCCTGTACCATTAGCATTTTCTCCCTGCATGAGMTTATTGTCTTTACATTTGTTGAACTGAACTGATGCTGAGAAAAGCACAAGGAAACCCCAGATAATGTTAGTAAGTGAGATTCAAACTAAATTCAAAACATATATCCTCAAGCCTTTGCACTGTCTGTATAATCCTGGAAGCCTCAAATCGATCARTAATGTTTGTGTGGCACTATGCAGAGCTGTGCAGCCAACAAAGGCAACATATGTTTCACACTACAGGTACCTGCTCRAAAATAATTTTATCATGATATACAGAATGAACTGCATGGTTCTGCATCACAGTGGGACTACTTTGCTACTGGTCCTTCATCCAGTTCCATTGGCTCCAGAACTCCTGGAACACTACTGATTGCACTTGGGCACACTGACTCAAAGGCTTGTGCACATAGAAGAGTTGTATTACCAAAACCACACACRTACCTTTTCTTATCTTCTGGAGATGCTTACTCTTATTCAGCAGGCATTCTCAGAGCATGACTATCAGACTGAGCATCACAAAACCAGTGCCAGTAGTTGGTCCCTCTCTKTTATTCAAAGTCTTAAAAGTCAGGGCACTTGAAAATGCATGGGAAATGCAGGTTCAATTCCTTCYGTAACTTGCAGAAGATTTGAGCTTTATGCTCTGCCTTCTGACYAACACACACAACACAGGCAATTCTGAGGTACAGATACTTCAGAAACATTCTGCCCACAGTGCTCCCCTCTGCAATGAATAATCGAAGAACCACTGTCCATAGAGAGCAGGAACAAGCATGAGCCTGTAGCTTACTCATCATTGTACTTGGCTAGCAATGRAGAAACCTAGTACATCCTTTCAGGGCTGTTCAATATTCTCACCTGTCTGCTGCTTAAAATGCAGCATGTAAATGATTCTCAGAACAGACAGACTCAAGACAATGCCTAAGGCACAAAGCTGATAAACTGAGAACAAAGACCAATGCCTCAGCTTGCGTCAGGCCAGCGTGCCACCTTTTGTAAATCTTGATTTTAAGGTACTTCACCTTCAACATGCACTCTGTTAGAAGCRGGGAAATTGGGAAAACAGATTGCCTTGTATTAAAACAAATGTATGTTCTTATCACCCAGGAAAGTTAAACACAGTAGTAATGAAAAAATTTGCAACAGTCAACAAATTACCACTGAAAGCTACATAGAATTCAATGCCTGAATTCAATGCCTGATCACAACCTAGAGATCAGGAAATTTAGATAAAGGCATTACATACCTTAACTTTTCTCAAGCTACTGCTGCACTGGCTTTCAAGAGTTGCCATTTTAAAAAACAAAAAGTCTTCCTTCAAGTTCAGCTTTTAAATCTATTGCACTAACTTAAAAAGGTAGAATATGATTTAGCAGCTGTGAGCATCCCTCAGCATCACTGCTACAACTACGTTTCAGCTGGAAAAAAAAGTTCCCCAGGCCAGAACTAAAGAAAGCTTTCAACTGCATGAAAGCCTAATATTTGACTGCAGGATGGAAAAGTAATTTCAGGTATTAATATGGCAGTCGATCTTAATGGAAAATATCTAAGTAAACAACTACAGAGAGGGAAATTYTGTTCACACATACAAAGAAGGGAAACTACCTCTGATGCACACATTACAGTTCACATAATTTTCAACAATTAAAGTGGTAAAAACCAGCTTACTTCTATGTTTCTTTTGTAACTCATGGCAAAACAATCCTCACCCTTGATGGAAACCAGTCCCCTTCKGCACTTCTATGCAGTAGGACACTGGCCTTTTTCACACAGAAGGTAAAAACCATGTAGTGTATTTCCATTTAACATCAYACACCAGCAACAGCCAAAATCATAAGTAGGATTTTACTGAATCAGCATAAATAGGASAAGTTTTTGTTCAGAATTCAATGAAAAGATGTTTTTCAGAGGACAACTCAGTCAGCCAGCCAGCTGCAAYAATTACCTCTCCTATAACCTATACCTTTATGTAATTATACTGGTACAAGACAGAATTGTATGCCTTTTTAACAAATACATTTATCAATGTAACTTTTCAGAGAGTTCTTTGATAAAGACAGATACCTGGACGRAAAGCCATCTTAATCTTAATGAATGCCTCATTACAGTCTGCAAGAAGATATTTTGCTTTCCTGTGGTAGATTCTAACAACGCCTAGTAAGAGATGTCCTGAGGTTCGAAGTGCCATCTTCACCTGAAAACACATTGCACAATCACTGAATTAGATGTAACCTCATTTTCCCTTAAATGAAACCTCAGTCAGCTTTATGTGAATTTTTTCAATAAAATCAAATGTCTGAAACAAACATAAAAACCAGCAGAAATCTGATGAAACAAAGAATGCAAAGTCTACAGTTCAAGATGATACTATTTACAGATGACCTGGCAAATATCAGTAAGCTAATAGCAGCTCACTCCAGGAATTCCTCTGTCTAGTTAAAAAAAATAAGTAACAAAGCCTATTTCTRTATTTTTTTTCTAACACCATTGCTACTTTAATTGTGGAAAAAGTGAAAAATACAAAAAGTTGGACAGCCATAAACAGTGATTTGGTTAAGTAAAATCAGGTTAAAAACTGTTAGCTACCTCTCCATCTACTGTCCTGCAGTTAGAAAGAAAATCAGAGAGAAACAGTGGAACATGTGGAGTGCCCCTAAACAAGCACTGCTACACTAAAAGAAGCACTGCCACACTAAAACGGTTTTAAGCTCCTTTCCTCTTCAATCTCAGTGCTTTACTATGTAATGAAGTATCTGCTGTGGGAACACAAAAYGAAAAAAAATCAGGGAAGGACTCTTCTTTAAGTACTTTAGGCTGAAAGAGCATGAAATTTGTGTTGAATGGTACATGGAATAATTTTCTCAGAGAAAGAGTAAACCATACAGGATTTAACATCAACCTTTTAAGAACTGAAAATTTTTACTGCCTACAAAGTCTTTTTAATATTTCAGCTGATGGAACTGCTACACAAAGTTAAATATATGAAAGAATGCCTACTAGTTTCTTCTTTCTCTAAAAGAATCCTCCATCTCACTCGTTTGTTTATGAACATTATCTTCCTCTTCCTAAATCCTTCCAGGGCTGATAATGAAGCAAATCACTATTCTGGAATAGTAAGCATCTCTGTGATTGTACAATCCACTTTTTGCTTCCACTTAGCAGCTCCTCTAAAATCTAGAGTAGCATTATAAAAACTGTTAACATTTATATCAACCAAAATAAAAAAAACATACATAAATTTTCTTTTGTTTTCAAATAGTTGCTTCTTGTATAAGACATTCAGATATCTTTTTAAAAGCCACAACTGTAGCACTAGCTCTAAAATGAACAATTTCATTGTCATGAGTAGTAGAGAGGAAGAAAAACAGAAACATTTAAAAACATCAAGCTACTAAAATTTCCTCCACTTTCACAATACAGTATTTCACATCTAAACAGACCTTTCCACCCTTTAAAATAGCAACATTAAGAACTTTATTTGCTTTAGAGACCCAACTAGTAAGTACCACCTGTACACACAAGYTCTTCTCACTACAAGGTAACATAACGTTAGTGTAAAATAGATACCTTTGGGGAAATGATACTCTCCACGCTGCTCTCCAGATTACATTCAAAAACATGGGCTTTGGTCAGCTTCTTATCCCAGTGGGCCGCCAGCCAGATTTTGGCCAGCGGCCCACGCTTGCTCAGGACAAAGTGGGCATAGAACATGGTCCCAGATGTCTAAAACAAAGTGCAAACCTGTAAAGAGAAAGGCAAATACTTCTTTCCATAATTTTTATTTTATAAGGAACATCCTTGTAAACACTCCCTCATCCTTAGAGGAAGCGCACATGTTTGCTTTTCAACCACTTAGGTCAGACTATTTGTTTACTATGTTTAAGAAGCCAACACTTACAAGTGGTGTCCATGGAATAGCATATACATGTATTTATTACAGAGGAATTATAAAGTAGAAATAACAGCCACTAACAGCCACATACACAATTTTAAAATGTTTACCATCCCTCARGAAAAACCAGTCTTGAATCTTTTAAACTTTASGGTAATGATACCAAATTCTCCTAAWGCAAAGAAGCACRYCTCAGTTTTCAGCCCACAGTAGTTTTCTGCTACTTCTATTTCTTTCTAYTCTTARTTCACTACCAGTATATATTCTATAYTGTTCCAGCAAAAGGTTCATCATTTTAAAATATACAGCCCTAAACCYTTTTGGACCTTGTGATAAATTCCTAAACAGGAAGAACAACTATGTCTTCATTTCTGAACAGACTGTTCTCCATTTCCTATTTTTTTAATCAAGTGTCAATATAAACTGTGAGAAAACTGACTGCATTATCCCAAAATTCCTTAAGATTCCATTTTCATTTTCTTTCACCAGAAAAAAACCCCCCACACTCTTTTATCTATTTATCTAGCAACTATCTTCTTATGGCTGATAAGATGCCAATATATCAAACCATGGGGAATCAGAAGAGCACAATGTCTTATGAGCTGAACATGCCAGTTTCCTGCATGCAGTAAGGATACGATCCATTAAGTACAAGCTGAAGTGGAAAACCAGGTATCTTTAAAAAAGCAGAAGAATCTCCACAAAGAATTTTTGCAGTAATTCAGATTTGAAGGAATATAAAGGATAAGAAAAATTACCTTTGCAGTGGTACCATACTCCTTACTTGTACACTATTCATAGTTATTGTTCAATTTGCAAGACAAAAACTTTGAATTTTAGCTGCATTAAACAGAGAAGTGCTGTTTGGATAACAGATCTCTTAATGACAGATTGGCCACCRATTCCATCCATAACCAAAACAGTGGAGAAGATTTAAAGGAAATAAAGGCCATGTTCAACTTTAACTCAAATTAACTCAGTGTACAGAATTAAAACGACTCTTAGGAGTGAAGTTAATAGCTTTTAGTCATAGCAAAGCAGCAAACTGRCAAAAAGTTAAAGTGCCATTTTTATTTGCTGAGATTTTGTGAGGGTTAAGGACACCACTGCACAAAGATGGACATGAGCAAGTTTTTCAGGAAGAACAATGAAATAAATTTTGGATAAACATTATCTGAAGAAGGTATTGTACCTTCCCCCCCCAGTATTTTTTAAAAGACATCACACTGTCTTAAGGCCAGCAGACAATTCAATGCTTGCATATTTCTGAAGGCCTCAGTATTTTTGTGTATGCAGAGACATAACTTTGCTGCACAGCACTTTGGTATCTTGAGTTGCTACCACAACCATGCAGTGCTCTGGCAACAGCAAGCCTGTAAATTACCCCTGAACATGAGGAACAGGGGAAAACACAAACATAGGGTAAACAAACCCACTTGTCTTAGTCCATTAAAAGAATTCAACAACAGTTGCAAAAGAATGTACTTTGATTAGTGGAGTTTGACACAATTATTAAAATAGATAGCATGGGTTTCACAAAACTTCAAAGATAGTTACCTGGAAACATACCTAAGTTTCCTGTTAAGAGTGAAGCCCACTATTTGGACTACTTGGACAAAAACAATTCATCTATCCTTTTAAATCTGTTTCTCTTCATCCATCACGGAAGCTTTGCCATGCTGAAATACTAAGGAAAACTGTGACGATCAGACTACAAATAAAGTGTGTTTCAATCAGAACTGTTATTAACAAATAATGATTCTATTCCCTAAAGCAGCAATTTCTTGTCACAACATGGAAGTTTCTGCCACTTCAAAGTTCCAGTAGATGCTCTGCTCTGCATGGCAAAATAACTGAGTTACAGCAACTGTACAAAGCCCACCTTTACAGCTCAGCTGTTTAGTGCCKCAGCACAACAGCTCAAAGCAGGCTCCAATGGCTACGCCCACTTTCTCCACATTTTTTCCTTTCTTTTTTTTTTCAGATACTCCTTTTCTGTATTTCAGGCTTTTCGTCTGATCTTTAATTCCTAGGRCAGTGCATTGATGCAGTGGCATACAAGAAATAAATTTTCTGGCATAATTTGAGACTGGGATGAATGTTAAAGGAGCCAAGAGTTTGTACAAGTGGCAGAGTGCTCACGCAGACACACAGAACATGTCAGTGGCTGAAAAAGCAACTCATAAGAATCYGTGAAAGAAAAAGGGTAGCTGATGGCTCTTAAAAATCTTGTAAGGTGAAATATAATTGCCCATTTTTGAAATTAACTGGATATGACACAGTTTCATAAAACTTGTTCTAAGAACTCAGGCATTTTTCTGTCTTGCTTGCATTCCTCCAAGAAAAATTGAATATGTACTCACACAAGGCCAGGCAGTACAAAATCCTGACCTTGCAAAATTGAGCTCTTAAAATACTTGAAACTTTTAAGCAAATTCAAAGTTAATGGCAATAATGCGCCATAATTGTCCTCAGGTTTTCTCTGCCTAACTTGGTCAACAATAGCACATTTTCAAAAATATTTTTCTTTCTATAGATGTGTAAAAAATGCTTTAATTCTATATACAAAGTAAGTGAATTGTAAAGCAGAAGTAATATAATACTGGTAGCATACAGAGTCCGATTCAGAATCTGCCTGTTTCATTCCCTCATCTGAGACTCTGGTAATTACTCCTTCCAAAGTGGCAGTAAGAAAATTTGGTAGATGCTAACTAAAATTTGGTAGATACACCTTAACCTTCAACTCAGATATATTAAGRCTTAAAATCCCTCTGCATATTAGAATGGCTAACTATCTAAACTCTGGCATAGTTAATCCCAACTTTCAAGGCACACAGAAAGGTGGTTACTGAACTAAGAGTTGAMAACAAACAGAACATTTACCATATTTTGACTTGACTGTGGTTCATTCTAGCTCATTAAACCCACTTGTCAGCTGCTCTGCCTAGGTTAGGTTATGTGCACACACCAGTACACAACTAAAGTTCAGTCTTATATTTTTTTTAGTGCCACATACTTTTGTTCCTGTTGTAAAGCTAGTCCAAAGCCACAGGTATACAGAGATGAGTAGACAAATTCCATACTACAGTTCAAGAATCAGCCCATCATTTTAATTCATTTGTCCTTATGCTATCCTACAATCTCTCTTCTATGCTGGTTTTCCCCCACACGCACAATTTTCTTCTATATTGTTTACGCTTTGCAGGCAGCCCTGGGTGAGAAGGGCGAGATCACCCTGTGCACCTGCATCAGCCTGAGTYGGCCCTACCAGACTTCAGAAGARSTATCCTGACCCTGCAACTGTACTYTGAATTCTTCAAYTTTAACTCATAACCCTTYAGTCTCCAGTCCTTCTTACAAGAYTAAACTTTCTATGTTTGGCACTCACCAAACAGGTTTCAGTACCACAATGAACAGATGGTGCCACTGAAAAGAAATTCATCACAAACTCCACTGACATCACATTACAGTTCCATGACTTTTCACCACTACCTTMTCTGATCTCCTTCCTTCAACCCCTTTTGTAATTGTCTGGTTAATCCACTATTATCTGAATTTTAAGACATTTCTTTGTGGCACCTGCAGCTTTACCAAAGCTCAATGACAAGTCATCTTAATTTCTTATGTTCACAAAATCAATTATTGAAAAAGCYGGAATGGTACTGGTTCAACTTGATATATCCTTGATAAATGCATTCAGCATTTTCCATTTGTCTCCAGGTCTTCTTTTTTCCATCAACAATTTTTTCAGAAATTCTGTGGCTGAGGTTTCACTATGATGTCTATTAATTACTCAAACCACACCACTGTGTAACAGGAACTCCATTCACTGTTCTCTAATTACAATATACTACACACTACACAATCAGATAGAACCAGTATCCCACTAGGATTACTAATTCAAAAGGCAGATCACTCACAATACTGTACAGAGCTGGAGATTACCGAATATGAACACTGTCGCCCTCCTCCCTCAATTCCACATTCATACCTAAGCCTCAGCAGGTATCCTGCCCTTACCCCTACATTCAGCAAGCTCAACCAGTAGGAAAGAAATCTTTAATTTAAGGTCCTATCTCCATTATCCCAACCTGTTTTGTGCAATTGCAGATCCAAGTCAAACTAATAAACTTGCAAAAACCATGTACTAACACACTTTTTAAAGGTATGTAAGCTGAACAGAATTCCTTGTTACTCCATTTTTTGCAGCATCCCACTTATTTCTCTGTACTGTTCATCCAAAGCTCAAAAGCAAAAAGCTTTTTAACGTTTTACCTCTAAGAAGCTAAACTGATGTAGGTAGTAACTAAAGAAAGTACTCTAATTTCTGTGGGAAATTCCACGCTGTAAGCAGGACATGATTAATTTCTGTAGTAATTTAAGTTTATTGTAGGTCTCACCAACTTTTAGCTCCTCCTTTTGTTACCCCTACCACACTTCATCTCTAGTTAAAACGTTAGAACAGTGGGCTTTGCTTTTCCAAGTTTCGCTGAACATCAAATATTTATAAATGAACCTTCATAAAATAAAACACAAGCCTGACCCGAATTATGCTGTKATATCCCCCGTTTTTGATAATGGGAGTTTTACGGAGTAAAAGATTAAGGAAAGTCTGCTCATCACCCACGTTCACATAATGTGGGCCTAAATGGTAACTTGTCCAAATTTGCAGTATTTTTTCCATGAGTCTAAATTCAAAGCAAAGCCATTTTCACTGAAAGATGCCAATAAGTCACAGTGACCCCAAGTTTCCTTTGTTATTAATGGGAACATAACGCCCTGTTTTATATTTAATAGAAGCATTTATATTCAGGATCAGAACAATCTTAAAAACTACAGCATGATTTCTAAGTGTCTGCAAGAGCAGGACCTTGGTTCTTCAAAAGGCCGGCATTTTTGAAGAGCCCTTTTATTTGCAGCTGGACAGCCAGAGYGTCCAGAAGACCGTTCTTATGCCACCAGCGAGGCCGTGACGACATTCAGTACCCTGCTCCATCCATAACAAAAAGCAAATCACATTTAAAAACAGAAGACCGGCAAATCCATCGCTCCTGTCCCCCTCTCCAGACCGCAGCAGCCCCGCTATCCGTTCAGCGAACCCCCAGCCAGGGATCTGTTACACCGGGCCGGCCCCCGGCCCTCCCCACAGCCCTTGGCTGCCCCGTGACCCGKCTGCCCCGGGGAAACGGGAAGATCCCTGCGGATGAGCGCGTGTGCCCGCTCCAGGAGCACGRACCGCCCCCTCCAGCTCCCCCCTCCGCCCCGGCCGGGCTCTCCTCGGCTCCTGCCTGTGCCGCGCTCCGGGCCCCGCTGCGCCCGGCCTCGCTTCACATCGCCCCGATACCCGGCCCTGCGCAGGGCCCCGCGCCGCCCGGCCGCCCTGCCCTTCCCGGGGAGCCCCAGGTGTCGCGGCGCAGCAGGCGGGCTCTCCCCACCGGGAGGGCTCGGCCAAAGCGCCGGCTCCGATCCGGCAGCGCCCCGAGAGCCGGGCTGCGGCTGGGCCCGGCCGGGCCCCTTCGGGCGGCGGCAGCGACCGCAGCGGCCACAATCGCTCCTTACCCTGCTCCGGGCCCGGGGACCGCTCGCTGCTCCTGCCGAGCCGAGCCGGGCCGGGCCGWGCCCGAACCAAGCCGAGCGGCGCCGGACCGAACCGAAGCTGAGCCGAAGTCAAGGCGGGCCGAGCCGAGCAGAGCCGAACGGAGCCGAGCCGCTCGCCCAAGCAAACAAGATGGCGGCTGCGGCCCTTCCTGCGCGCGAACGCGCCGTTCAAACTGCAGGATGTTTACGGTCAAATTCCCCCCGGCCCCGGCACCGCCACTGCGCCTGCGCGCGGCCTGCGGGGCCCTGCACTGCGCGTGCGCGCGGCCGCGGGGGGTGGGGCAGGGCCGCGGGGGTGACGAGCGCGCGCTGAGTGACAGCGGCGCGCGGCTCCGCGGGGGGCGGGGCCGAACGGAGCCGAGCCGCTCGCCCAAGCAAACAAGATGGCGGCTGCGGCCCTTCCTGCGCGCGAACGCGCCGTTCAAACTGCAGGATGTTTACGGTCAAATTCCCCCCGGCCCCGGCACCGCCACTGCGCCTGCGCGCGGCCTGCGGGGCCCTGCACTGCGCGTGCGCGCGGCCGCGGGAGGTGGGGCAGGGCCGCGGGGGTGACGAGCGCGCGCTGAGTGACAGCGGCGCGCGGCTCCGCGGGGGGCGGGGCCTCAGGGGGGCGGGGCGGGTGCGCGTGCGCGGCTCCTCGAGACAGCGGCCGGGCTGTGAGGGGACCCCGCCCTCGCTACGGCTCAATGGGGTGGGAGTTCTTCGTTAGCTCGGTTTGAAACGTGTGAAACAAACCTTCTCTTCTTTTAAAGCCTGCTCSCCGTGAGGCGGTGACACGCCAGGTATTTCTGATCCCCGACTCCGCACTGCCTCGGGCGCTGCAGGTGTYTGTGCTGTGGCATAGCTTGTTGACATGGGGAACAACTGCGGGCATCACTCACTGTCTTTGTTCGGAATAATTCGATTTCTGCAGTATTTCGAAAGTTTTTTTTGGTCCTAATTTACTAATTTATGATGACCACGTAGGATGTAATAGAGAGGGAAGTATGGCTTAACTGGACTCTAAACAGGAGTCAGTTGCAAGGTAAAAGCAATAGAATGGGAAAACAAGGACAGGTTTGGGGTAAAAGGGATTTCTCTGGTCTCTCAGGCACTAGGAAGTCTGAARCTATAGGTGCATACCATTCTGGATGAACAACAAASAGCCTTTGGCCCAAAGGGGCASAAAATACACTAATACCTYATTAAAATAACCTCTGAAACAATGGATCATCGGTTTACAAAGGCAAGGTCAGAATACCAAGAAAATCTGCCTSTTGAGGGTTTAAGGTGTATTACTGCTATTTGTGATACTCAGATAATATAATTTAGGGGATGATAACATCAGCAAATAATCTGTAAAAACACGCCAACTGAGTCTTCTGGTTCTCTTCCCTTAGGTTCAATTTAAAAAAATTCAGCATTCATTTTCGTTCATAATGTCTCACTATAACCTTTATTCAGAATAAACACTGATTCTCTGTATGTCCCRCATGGATTTCTACCAGGTATAGTAATATGTCAAGTGTTTTCTTTGGCAAAAACACATTTGCTCTATCACTACTCTCCTGTACTATATGGAATTAGAGGTCCAGGCATTGAAGCTGGGAGTGCCCAGGCCATCGACCACTGATAAGACACTTGCATTAGTTTAACGGTGCTGAGACATTGGATTGCATCAAAGTCCACCAAAAGTGCAGACCAGCAAAGGTGCATCATTTGCTGCTGTAGGAAAACTACCACTCACAGTAGGGGAAAAGAGCCATACATGGGTAAGTGACAACACAATGGTGTGAGTCAGAAACCGCAACACTTCAGGCRCTGCCCAACATTACTGCTGAAACATCCATAGCACAGCCTGGCTCTGGCTCTTATGCTGCTCAGTGCTTATCTTGGGTGCATCCATTTCAGTATGAAATCCTTCTTTCTCTGGCTCAGCATGTACTGAGGATTAGTGGCTTTCGGTCAAAATTGCCTTTCTAGCTAGTATGGGCCTGTGTGTGCCAGTTGCCTGTTTAGAAGCTCTTCATCGTATTGCCATTGGCTGAGCAGAAATTAACCATGGGAAGGGATTATGGTTATTTTTTCTTTGGTTGTCACTACCGATTCCTTAATAGCTACCCATTTTAAAAAATAAAATAATAAAAATATGTCTCATTTTTCTCATGCTCTCTACTGTTTGATCAAGCAATTCTGTCTATAAAAGACATCCTTTTTGAAAACAAAAGTAGGAGTTACACTTAAATTTTTTGTAATATCTACCATGTACCTAAAAGCATTAAGCWAATACATAGGTCCAGTCTTTTCCAAATGACTCTCTGTAGTCAGTTGTCAGTTTTTCCAAAGTTTAGTTTCCAGTCTTTTTGTTCTTTGTTATTATAGGGCTTTAAATATACGTACTTCAAAGAAGCAAATATATGCAAATCCCAGAGAGTTTATAGTCTAAATTTGGCTCAGTTTAAATCTAAAGGATTTGAATTGTTATCACATCTGTTTCTCATGGCAGTATGTGACTACTGCGAACATCAGAATGTAATCTTGTCCTCTAATTTATTCTTGAATGTATTCTAAAATTATGCCAACTTAATATTATTTATTTTTTCCAATGTCTATTTAGCTCAATATGTTTCTGTTTCATCTAAAAAGAATGCTTTCTTCTATCAAAATTAAAAATCAAGACAATTCATTTGCATGGTCTAAAATTAAGGTTTATTGCCTGATACAAAAATGATTCATTTGTGCTGTGGAGATGAATRCACTTCATGGACAAGTTGATATTTAAACCTCGGCATAATTTTCACATATTCTGCTGAGAATTAAAGCAATTACAGTACAGTAAATAAGGAAGATCAAAAYACAGTGTGTGTTGGAACTCATGTTCATTGAGTTTCATCCACTGACCTATCAAACACCATAATAAGTTTTCCTCAATATTAATAATACATTCAATCATTGCATGAGTCTTTCAAATATTTGTGATTAAATCAAATATTTTTCAACCTTTTCATTTAGGTTCTTATGAACGTCATTTTTTTTCTAAAAAGATATATTCTCCATTACTATTTTTTTTTTTCAGTTTTGGGGTTTTTTTAATTCAGACTAGAAAATGCCCTGAATGCCCTGGCCTGAGACAGGCAATGTAACTGATCTTCCTGTTCCCATTTTTTTTTTTTTTTGGCTTTCTCAAGAGGTGCCACAAGCACTGATTTGTATGCACTTTATACTTTTCTGAGTTTCTCCTTGGGCTCTGCTCAGACACACACATTCCAGATGGTACTTAAAAAAGCAARTTTGTGACTATGATGCTCTTGCTAGCATATAGCAGATCACATTATGCAGTGATATTTGGGAAGAAACTGAGGCAAAAAGCTCTTTTTTTGTTTTCAGCTTTGGTCARGTGTATCTGTCAGGCAATGAAATCATAATTTGCAAATGCAGAACAACTTATTTCATATATAAATAACTTTCTCTTAGGAGAAAGGAAAACACATTTTAATTACTTTTGATTAACTGAAGTGATCATTTTTCCCTGACAAACATTCTCCCTTGAAATTTGAGATCCAAATCCACTCTTAAGTCAAACACCCATCCTCCAGTTCCTTCCAATCTAAGCTGCTTTGCTCAAATTGCTTCCAAGTATTGGCAAYAATAAATTGCTTTTTTGAGCCATCAAACAAGAAGTTCAGGACAGTCACAGTCATACTTCTACCATGTGAAGTAGAAGGAAAAATACCATAATTTGTGATTTGATTAGAATCTGTATATTCTAAAAGCTTCAGCATTCCATGGCAGATAATCCAAAGTTTGTCCAACATGTTGGACCTTCTCTGAGGAGCAAATTCAGTCTCTGTATGCAGCAAGTTAGCTTTGGTGCGGCTGTAAAAAGAGAAGAATGTGCTGGAAAGGGACCTGCTGTGCAAGTGCATGTRGGCAGAAGTTTTCAACTGTAAGCCACGAGCGTCCTTAGGTGATCCATAAGTGTAATGGTTTCTGAAAGTGGCATTCAAAAATACCACAGAATCACCATGGTACTCTGCTCTGAGCATTAGAATACAAATATTTGCACACAAGCTGGTAGTTTTGATTCCTGATTTCAGTGTGGGCCATCTGGTACAGATCCTATGTGAAGTACATGAAAGATGATAATAATAACTGAAAACACTGATTTCTTGCCACTTGGCCTTTAGTTCACAATACATTCTTTTATCAAAAGCTCTGAGCAGGAAAGTTTTATATTTGCTGGGAATGATTTACATGGCAAGTCAAAGATRTTCCCTACCACTGTGTTTCATTTGAACATGTTCTAGTTTTGGCTGAGATAAAGTTAATTTTTTTTYCCCAGTAGTTAGTACAATGCTGTGTTTTAAATTTATTATGAGCATGATGTTGGTGACACACTGATGTTTTGATTATTGCTAAGTAGTGCTTACTTTAAATCAAGGATTTTCAGTTTCCCATTATCTGCCAGTGACCAGTTGCGCAAAAAGCTTGGAGGGAGCATGGCCAGGATGGCTGACTGGCATRTTCTATACCACAGAAYATCATGTCCAGTATATAAACTGGGAGAGTTGCCCAAGAGCCAATGATCACTGCTCAGGAAAGGGCTGGCATCAGTCAGTGGGTGGTGAGCAACTGTACTGTGCATCACTTGTTTTTCATGGGTTTCATTCTTCACTCTCTCCTTTTCATTACACTCTTTATTATTATTACTATTATTACTATCACTAATATTACTATTATAATTTTTTTTTGTTTAAATTATTACACTGTTCTTATCTCAAACCGTAAGTTTTACTTTTTCCAATTCTTCTACCCCCTAGTGTGGGGAATGAGCAAGCGACTATTTGGTACTTTGTTGCCATCTCTGATTAGACCATGACAGAGGAACCAAAGAGATAAAAATGAGGCAAAGAAAGTTTGGATTTCTGAAAATGCTATGGAAATTCAGCTTTCAATGTTTGCTAATCCTGGGTAGATGGAATGTTGTTAGGATCTGACACACTAAATCATGCACCATGCAGTCAGTACAAGTAAACTTGTTTGTATTGGGGTTTTCAAYGTTTCTGTAATTTTGTTTCATAAAAAGAGAAATATTTTTTCCCAGTTGAGGAGAAATAATGTAAGAATTTCAAACTATCTATTGACTCAGCATTCTTGTACTGGCCTTATTGATTCCATTATGTATCAGA